GTCTTCACTCTCAGCAGTTCCTACAATGAGGATGTTGACTTTAGCTGTCAAACTTACACTACACATGGTCTCTCAACTGTCAAGGGGATACCTCTCACACAAAGTGAATGAACTTTACTCCTCACCACTGTGATCCTTGCGTTCTTGACAACCTCGGAATAAAATTTCATACCAGGCTCTATCCTACCTGAGGAAATACTTTCATGCCCTGTCTTCATTCTTCTACTTTGTTTTTGTGCTTTCTGTCACCTTTTATCCAATACCTGTAATCAAAGCAGGAGTTTACAGAACACTTAGCCAAAAAAAAAAAAAACAGGAAGGGGACCTCTTACTTCCTCTAACTGAAAGAAATCAGTGATCAGACTAACAGGGGATTCAGAATGTTTAGTCAGGATATAAAGAATCAAGGTTCACAAAGTGCATTGGAATCAGGACTGAAAGTTTACTAGAATGGGAAAAAGAAAAACCTCCCAGCTTTGGACCCTCAAGAATTTGGCATCATGGCATAGTAGTATATAAGCTCTTTGAGGTCAAGGATTGTTTCATTTTTGCTTGTGTTGCCAGTGTTTACATAGAAGATATTTAAAATGTTTATTAAGTTGAATTGTTGAAAAGTGTATCGGACTCAGGAAACCTGATCTCTAGTCTTAGATCAACAGTTAGCTTTGTGACTGTAGGCAAGTCAATTTACCTGTCTGACACTTATTTTCTTCATCTATAAAATATGTTCAGAGGAGATTCTTAAGGCACTATGTACTGCTGAACTTTACAAACAGACTATAAGAATATTATCTGCTACCCTAGTGTTTACTTGGTGAGGGTATTTTTATAAATAAATAAATTATTTTTATTTTTTATAATAAATTTTAAATATTTAAATAAATTTTATTTTAAATAAAAATAATAAAAATAATATTTATTTTTTTGAAACCTAGGTCATCCCATCTCATCTTATCTTTAACCTCTGTCTGCCTCAGTTTCCTTAATCACAAAATGGGGATAATAATAGCATTTACCTTTTGGGATGGTTATGAGGATCAAATGAGATAATATTTTACAAAACTTTTCACAAAGTGCTTGTCAAATAAATGCTAGCTTTTTAAAATTGTTATTATTGTTATCATTAATCATTATTATTATTAAATGCAGGGACCTCTCATAGGCCCAAACCAACCAGTGATTGATTAGGAAAAATTGAGTTGTTCCATTTCCACCCAAAGCTAGTTTGTCCCGCCCTATGCAACTCAGTTGCCCCACACGCTCCAGGGTTCATCACACTGCTGTTAAATTTAGTGTGGACACCCAGTATAGCTCTACTGCAGCTCAGGCCTCCTGAGCTCAAAATATTCCCCAGCCTCAGCCTCCTTGGTAGCAGGGATCACAAGTGTACATCACCCAAACTGGCTAGCCAAAATTACTATATACATATAAATAATATTTATTATATATTTTATATATAATATATAATTATATATGTGTGTATGCATATATAATTTCCCCCAGCGAGCCACCCTGTGGATATTTTTTCTCCTACTTCGATTTTTGTTTTAAAAAAAATTAATAGACATAAGTACCCTGGCATATTACACAAAATCCAATGGAGTGGTCCTGGCCTGCAAGGGAGTTTTACCTTTATTGCTTCTTTTTCTCGTCTTCAACTATACCTTTCACCAGCAACATTATTCTGTATACTGGCTAGAAGTTGGTGATGTTGGCTCATCCAAAGTTTTTTACCTTCATTTCAGGATTGAGTCACTTTGAACTTGGATATATTGCTTAATTTACCTCTATTCAGTTCCATTTCAGGCACTTCCACTTGTAAATTGCCTTATTCGGTGCCCCTGAATCAGGGTCCTTTCGTTTGTGTACTTCTTTTCCTTGTATTGACATTTCCCCATCAAACTATTTTTGACTCTCTTGTTTTGTCTTATTAGATAGAACCTGTGTTTCTCTCTATCCATGCTATTATATTTCTGTCTTGCCCTGTTTGAAACATGCTGCATTCATTTTTTATTGTTATCCATCGGTCTAAGAAACAATATGCTTAGAAAATTGCTTTCCCATGTTTAGCTGAGTTCTTTTTAAAAAAAAAGTCTTCCAAAAGTAAACTTTTCTGCTTGTGTAGTATAAGGATAGTGTAACAGCTAAAAAAAGCTTTCATGTTTTTACCCTCCTTGAGCCTTTGATTGGCAAGTCTTTTGACACTCAGTAATTTGTATAGTTTCAAAGCATGTCCTCTTGCACACATAAAAATAAAATGAGTTATCAAAAATAGTTTGGGAATTTTTTTTCTGAGTTATAACATGGGCCTAAAAATAAAGAAATAAATATACCTTTCATTTCCATAGTTTCTTTATTCACAAGGATTCATATCACTTTTTCATATATTATCTCATGTTGTTGGCATGGCTATGTGAAGGATGATGAGGAAAGAATGATGGGTAAAGCTTATACAGAAATATTGTATCAATTAGAAAGCTCTGATTGTTTGCTTTTTTAAAATTCATCACATTATTACTGCTTCAGTATCTCTCTCATACAGAAAGCACATTCTGCATTAAAGAAAACCAAGATCCTGATAAAGGATATATCTCAGATTGAAAAAAGGCATCCTTTTTGTATTTTCCTTCTTTTTAAAAATTATTTTACTTTAAATTTGAAGAATAAAGCATTTCCATGACATAGTCCAATAAAAAGATGGAACTGCAAATCTACTATTTACAACTTTTAAACATAAAACAAAGTTACAATATAAATTTCTTTTTTTTCCCTTTTTTCTTCCCTCTTCCCTGCCCTAGATATGGCTACTATTAGACACAAATAGGTGTGTGTGTATATATATATACATATATATATGTATATATACATATGTGTGTATGCATGCATATGTATATATGTATATGTATGTGTGTGTATATGCATGCATATGTATATATGTATATGTATGTGTGTGTATATACACATACATATATGCATTTGTATGTCTGTATATTACATATATGTGTAAAATTATTCTATATGTGCTTCTATTTATCAGTTCTTTCTCTGGATACAGATAGCATCTTTCTTCATATGTCTTTTACATTTAATTTGGGAATATACAATAGTCAATAATAACTTTTACTCAAAGTCATTCTTAAAACAATATTGCAGTTATTGTATGAAAATACCATATGTATTTCCCTTCTGTATTTTCTGTTAAGGTGATTGAGCAAAATCTGAAGTTCTTTAGAAGTTTAGTCTTTTAGGAAATGGCTGCTCTTCTTATCCCTCACCAACAGAATGACTTTAAAGTCCTACCAGTTGCACAGGGTATCATCAGTTGATTCAATCAACAACCAATACAAATTTATTAAGCGTTTATGATGTACTAAGTACAGACATACAATGAAAAGGAAAAAGCAATATCTGCCCTCAAGGAGCTTATACTCTAATGGGGGAAACAACTAGTCCATGAATAGGTATATAATGAGATGCATAGTTGTTTGTCCTTCCTTCTAGAAGAGGACCAATGACATCATGGGGGTGATGTCTTGACTCGAAAGTGAATTGAATTGAAGTGAGGTGGAGCTGTGCAGTCTCACTCTCTCCTCCAAAATCATCAGAGTCCAGTGGCTAGACATAGGTCAGAATGACTAGTGATAGCCCAGGATGCAGTGGGAGACCTTGACCTTTCTAAGCTGTTTCCCAGGTCTCAGTTTGTCTGAGGTAACACCTATTCAGCAGTTAAAGGCTAGGTGAGAATTGAGGAAAAAGATGGCCTAGTTGCCTTGACCAAAGAAACAGTCTTAGACACTCAGAGATTCTAGATGAAAGGCAGTCTTAGAGGGGAAAGCACTAATAGCTGGAAGGACCAGGAATGGTTTTCTGTCTATTCAGAGTACTCAGTTTCTGAATTGTGTTAATATTGTAAAAATCCTCATTTATTTTTGGCGTTAGAATCAGTGATCATATAATTACTTCACTTTTCAGATCTATTAATTTTTTGAGTGAGAAACAGTGTGATTTAGCAAACAGTTGGAGTTAGGAAGAGATGGGTTCCAGTCTCACCTCTAATACATACTAGCTGTTTATCCTGAGGTGAGTCACAATCTCTTAATGCCCTAGGCAACTCCAGAAAACAGAGGTTCTTAGTCTGGGGTCACACACACACACACACACACACACACACACACACATGTTTGTGTGTGTGTATGTATATGTATATATCTGAAGGCCCATTAACTTGGATGGAAAAAATAAATTATAATGCAGAAGGGGGGGGGAGGGGAAACCAGTCCCTGATAACAAGGAACTCATAGTTTAATGGTGGTGACAAAACATAAACAACTCTGTTACAAACAATATACATGCAGGATAAATCAGGAATAGTCTTAGAAGAAAGGCACTAAGACTAAGGAAGATTGAGAGGGGGATGTTTTTATTTTTTATTTATTTATTCGTAGGTAGGGACTTGAGAATTGAAGGAAGGCAGAGAAGGCCTCTAGTAAGAGCAGCATCTGCTTTATGTAGGCTGGACTAGTTATTTAAAAGGGGGAGGAGCTATTAGGCTTCTTTGATGCTTGGGGCATAAAAGAATAAGCCTATGGGATTTGGCATCAGATGTTTTACCAGAGTTCCCATTGTTCTAAGGTAGGAGATGCCTTTCTGACCAAGTTGCTGATCACAGTGGTAAATTTTATTTTAATTTAGCCAGAATTATATCCCTTTTCACTGCATTCTAAATAAAATTGTTCTTATTGACTTTATGGTCCATGATATCTTATTTTATTACAACCTTGAACCTGAATCACTAGTCCGGCCTGAGTTGGGTTTGTTCTAGAATAAGGTATAAAAGGAGGAAGCCAATCTTGGCAGGATAAGAGAAGATATAGGATTAGATTTAGTAGCATCAATGTGAGTTAGATAAGATCAAAGTGTGCTCTAGTTTTCTTCAGATGAAAGGTGAGACATATTCCTAACTCATAGGTACTTCCATTTTCTTATTCTCTAGCAGTTGCTGTCTGTGGAACTCAACCTCCGTATTCTCCCCTTCAACTTCATCTTGCTTCTTCCAGCTGGAAAAAAGGAAAAGTGCTAATACTGAGCCTGAATTCACTGTCACAGAGGATAAGAGCAGGGAAAGGCATTATGAGGTAGGAATATTACCTGAATACATCATCATATTAGTTTTGACATTACTCAGCACTAGAAATGATATGTACTAAAGTATTGATTTTTCATAGTTTAAGCTTTCCTTCTGTTTGCAACATTTTCTCCCAGTTCTCTATCAAGTCATTTTTATAATACTCATTGTGCCCCATCCCCTTCACAAAGTTGTCAATTTACTCTATTAGATTATATAGGATAATTCTTTTGTTTATGTTTTTTGTTCTAGGTCAGAAAGAACACTTCATATATGTTATGCCACTTATCTTTGTAGCAGTCATAATAAGCAGCAGATACTATTATACCCATTCTACAAATGGGAAAACCGAAGGAGATAGGGTAGCTGTCATTAAGATTGGGAAAGTCAACACAGAAATCAATCAATTGAAAAGCATTTATTATTGATCAGGCACAGAAAAATAACACAGAAATCAGAAAAATAAAAGCAATCCCTATCTCTTTATATGAGAAGTCCCCATATTTGTATGTAAGAGAAGAATCATAGTGTAATAGAGAGTGAATCTCACACTTTGGGAAACCAAGATCCAAGTACCCCCAATACGTCCTGTTTGTATGGCCTTTTAACCCCTCATTTACTAATCACAATTTTCTAAAAGCAGAAGTTGGACAGTTAACTGATCTTCATTGTTAGAATTTTCTGTAACAATGAAACCACAGGTTAAGACCACCTTTTTTTCCCCCTTCCCTCCCAAAAAAGCCACATTTGAATACTTAGGAACAAGTATTGTCTTAGGAAAAGCCTATCTTGGATGCTTCTTAATTAAACAAATCAGCACTTAGACCATAAAACTCCATCCACTGTGGTCCAGTTTTACTTGGGATAAATGAGAAGCACTTACTGCTTCCCATTAGTCAAGCGAACAGAAGCTTTTCTCATCAGTAATGTGAAATGTTAAGAACTGAGTATTTTAACTTCAAATTGTCACTCAGCAAAGATTTTTGAGAACTCTTTAAAAAAAATTGGCAGTTGTCATTTAATATATGATGTGATCTAAAAGCATATTATTTTTTAATGTTCCCCAAGAGATCTCATCGACTTTGTGACATTCTTAATCTCTTAATTCTCTAAAGAGAAAGAAGAGTGTTTTTTTTAATTGTTTAAGGCACATCCTGCCCTTTCAAAAAGTAAACAGGTATTGATATACAGGGGCTGCTATTGTCACCCTTTTTGTTTCTCCTTTCTCTCCCATTCCCAAATTCCCTAGTAATGATAAAAGTGACATTATTTTAAAAGATAAGAAGCACCAAAATTATTTTCTCTCTGACCTTTACAGTTTCCAGAACAAGCAGCTTCTGTTAGCAAAATAGTTCAAGCCTTTTATTACAAAGGATATTTCGCATTGCTCCATGAGAAAAATATATTGTTCCTGACAGTAAAAGTTATTAAGCCTTCCATTTTTTTTATGCTAGGCTAACAATTTAACCAAAATAAAATCAGAGGGCATTTTAGAACTGAGGAAGTAGTTGACTGAGGGGGCTAAAAAGATTTCATCTATCACTTTTTTAATGAATGTATTGAAGTAGTTTTATGTCTTTGATGGACCACACCTCATTGAAGCAATAAGGATAGTTTACTGAAGAGGTCAAGGAGATTTTTTTGGTGACCTTCAGGTTCTAGCAATACCTTTCTTCATACAGTTAAAGTTGAATAATGATAAGCGACTATTTTGTTTTGAAAGAACAAATATGAGAGTGGGAAACCAGTGCCCATAGATGTTTAAATTGCATGCATTTAAAGTCATGTTCTCTGCTAACTCTTCCAATGCAGATTCCTAAATTAGTAGTTTCCTAAATTTGGGATATCAGGTTGAGTTGTAATTTCATTTTAAACCTACATCTGTGTTTTTCTCACAAATGTTCCAGGTTTCTTGATGATAGAAGCAAAAGCACTTGGAATAGCCCTGATCCAGGGTAGCGGCTGTCATCATGGCTCTGGCATCTCCGACCAAGTAAGGATGATATATGTATTTCAGCAGGTTTTATCTTCTGTGGCAAAGATATGACATTGTTGTCACTAATTCTTAAGAATCTAGGAATTAAATGGCAGTGGAGACAAAGTTAGAACAAAATCTTCTTCCTTGTTAAGACTGCTGCTTTTATATTGTTTCTGACTCAGCTGGGGGTACAGTACATGCTTAGGAAAAAAAACAGGAAGTATATTAGAGGCACATAAAGGGAAGCATACATTTAAAAATAATAAGATTCATTAAGGAAATAATAGAAGAGGCAGTAATAGTCATTAACTCGAGAATTCATAACTCTTTTCAGATTTCTTGTTCAAAATGAGCTTTTGGGGATGTCACATTCTTTAATAGTCTAGGAGCTCAATATTTTCTTGCTTTAGATGGTTGGCTTATAATGTTAGTGTATGCAAATACACATAAAGGACTGGCTTGCCTGACCATTTCTTTGTGTTTGGGTATATATTTCTGTATGGCATAATATTTCCACTTGCATTGGTTCCCTGGCAAGAAAATGTTTATTGCGCTCATTAGCTAAGAGGATGTCGGCACTGGTCCAATGAACACAGATCTGCCTTCTGATTTCAGCCATTAAATTGCAATGGGATTCACAGGCTTAACATAGTGGGTGTGAGAATAATAAAATGGAACTCCGTCTTTAGCCCAGTTACCATGGATGCAGTTAAAGGTCATAGTGGCAGCTGCTAACTAGTTGCCTTTTTAGCTGCATTTTCCCTCCTGCTATGTGTTTTTATGCACCTTAGTCTCAGAGAGGTTTACCATGGACTACCTTCACCTACTTTTGTGACAGACACCCTAACTTGCTCTTTGAAACAATGGACATCTTTTCTTAAAAAAATAAAGTGGTTACTCTGGACTTCCTCTTTTATTTATTTGTCTAATATAGAACTTGAAGGTAAAGAACTTAATAAAAATACAAATTGCTGTTTCTCCAGCATCCTGAATTACTTTCTCATTTTCTGCACACCGTTCTACATTCCCAACCAAAAAAAAAAGTGTATAGTAAATTCCCATCTCCATTTAAACTGGTAATGGGTTCAGGCACTGATGCATTCACAACGTGGAACATCAACTTCTTCTTCATTCGGCCCAAAGTCCTAGGAGTTAATTCCCTGTACTGCATGAGGTGTCAGAGTAATTACCACTGATCAACCCTATTTCTCAGCATTCTGCCCAGCTTTGAGAGGCTCCCTGTTTATGGATGCACTGCCACATCATCACAGTGCTTTCATTCAGGCGAGCTACTTAATCGAAAGGGTTTGGACAATGTAGGATTTTCAAAGAGAAGAAGTGGGGGAAAAAATTAAAAGTAGCCAAGCAAAATAAAGTGCATGACGGTTAAAAAAAAAAAAAGCTCTTCGAAATATTTCCTCATGTCAACACTTCATTTCAATAGATTTTAAAAACTCCTATGCACTTTCAAAAGAAGGCACTGTGAGCCTGTTTTTTCCTAGGGTGACTCTACTCCATGATCACATTTAAAAAACATTTTAGGAACGCATCACTTTAGAAAACACACTTGAGGGGAGTTTATTGTTTTTTATTCTGTTTACATATAAGCCCTGACTATGTTAACCTTTATGAGCCAGAATACAAAGAAACTTTTTTTAAGTATTGTGCTCTTCTGTTTTAAACATACATTTATATAACTTGTCATTTCATAAAAATAAATTAAGTATTATATGAGCCAAATGTTTCAATTCCACAGGAGAGTGGTTTCTGGGACTCCTTGGCAGTATGCCATAATATTCATTTTTATTTCAAACACAATGTGAAGTCTTTAATTTTAATATACTTTGTAACTATAATGGTTATAAGGCACATACTATACTAATTCATCCTCATCCTCTCCTTGTTCTTCTCTGATTTTAGAAGGCAACAGAAAGATACATTGATTTCATGTGCCGTATTTTAAAGGTTTCCATCAAACTGTATATGAGTATAATTGGTCAGAGGAGTGGGTAAAGGAGAGAGAAGGGAAGGTGGTAAAAGAGAAGGTTGGAGTTTGACTAGGTTTAACATCCTAATGTCTTTTGTTTGGGGACACTTCTCTTACATCTATGGTGTGTCTGTTATAGTAGTGCATTCGGAGCAAAGTAAGGTGATAAGGAGCCTAGTCTATGGGAGAAATATGAACCTGAATGTCAAGGCTTGCTTCTTTAGACTCCTCTCCCAGATCCAAAGTCACAGTGTTACTTAGGGGCATGTATCTCATTCTCTTTGAGCTCCAGGTTCTTTTTCTATAAAACAAGAAGAGAACTTGTTGGGAAAAAGCTGAAGGATCACCTGATGAAAGAAACTCTGGAACTGCATCAGGTGATGCCAGGGTGTTAATGGGGCAGGTTCTTTTGACAACATAGTTCCTTTATGAACCTGTTACTCCTCTTGGAAGCAGTAGGATGTCAGTGGGTAGACAAGAGAAGGGCAGGAGGAAAATCTGGCTTAGATTGATCTGTGTCACTCTGCCAAAAATAAAAGGGGGGGGGTTGTTGCTCTAAAGCAAGAGAGAACAGAGTGGTAATGATAAATACATATGTAAATAGATTAATCCCCTGTGGTCGTTCTGAGATTTTCATAGTGACATCACTGGCAGAGTGGTATTTCTTCATTAAAAGGGGACAGGGGAAAGAGTAATTTTCATAAGCTATATAACTGTATTATGGTGGGGGGGAAGAGAATGTTTTCGGCTATCACTGAGAATTCAGCTTTACTATTACCTCTGCCATACTTTTAATCAGGGAATTTCTTCTTGTGCCTTGTTTACTGTTGATATTTTCTGGCTGATTGGAGAGGAATGACATTTTGACAATTTACTGTAGCAGTAAGCACTGTACAAACAAAAGGTGCTGATGAAAACTGGGAACCCATTATTATGTAAATTATGGCTGAGTAACACAGATTCCAGCTCCCAGTCACCATCATTGAGACCAGTTTTACTCAATGATAATAATTTTCATGATTGCAGACTTCAGAGTGATCAGAAATATGCTTTAGCTGCTGCATTTATCTACTGCTGGTACTTGACCCTTAATTAAATTCTGAAACTTTTTTATATAATAAAGTAAAATACAGCTGACACTTCTGTTCAAACAAAGAGCATCCAACACAGAGCTACCAAATAAGATAAAGGTATTTCAGACTTACCTCGTGGTAATGATAGTAAACATGGCTATTACAGCATCTTTGGAAAGTGAGCGTTAAGTTTAAAATGCAGATATATATTGTCAAGTGATTTCAATTCTGTTCAGCCTTTTCTAAATGATAGTGAGTCCTGGGTACAGATGATCATAAAACTCTGTTAAGAAGACATTTTTAATGTGTTTTGAAAAAACATTGTGAGTCTTTCCATTCTACATCTTTTGGCCTCTCTGATATCAAACAGGAGCTTAGAAAAAAATTAGACAGCATTTATTAAGACACACACAGATCTCTAAGTTCTTGCTTATAACTTTTTAAGGGATTTTATTTTGTTTCTTACAGACTTATTCTTCTCCTGAAAAAATGAAAACTAAAGCAAGTTTTAAAATGGCATTCTGGTCTCATTAAAAAAAAAAAAAACAACTGACTGGCCAAAGCAGATGTGTAACTGAATATACATATTTCAACATATCGTATGGGTAGCAGTCACTTTTAAGCTGGATTTTGTAAACATGAGTGGTTGAAAGCAGGGATCCCCTGGTTAATGCATACTCATCTTTGCAAATCCTTCAAATACATTTATTTTCTTCTAAAAAAAAAAGAAGTAAGCATCTAGTATTTCCCTCAACATTTCAGGTCAAGAAAAAGGTCTTCATTTTTTAATATGCTAAAAAAAGCAGTTAAAAAAGAGAGACATTTTGAAAACCAAGGTTTAATATTTCCATAGATATAACACTTCCTAAGCAGTCAGCTCATAGAACCAATGAGCTAAGAAGGTAATTACTTAAGTGGATTTCATGAAGAGTAGAAAGATGATTGTGCCACATTAAATAACAATTGTATCCTTAATGATGTGTTGGACTATAATACAAACATCCTTCTACCATTACATGCTCTACAGTGTACCTTTCTAATTACTCCAGTGGCTTCCTGTTCCCCTGCTAAGATGCTATGCTTTCAAAGACTATGTAAACATTAAGTGAGCTTTTTTTTTTTAACTACAGTGAGTACAGCTGCATGGTCATTGATAAATTGGCTATAAATTGCTGAAATTCAATGTGAACATTACCATTGTTTTATTACACATATACACACTTCAATGTTTCAGTATGCTTTAGGAGAAATATGCTTAGCTTTAGGAACACACTTGTGAAATTACATAAACCAGCCTCGCTCGGCTTTCCTCAGTTACTGAGACTAAATGTTCGGCATGTATAAAACCCAGTAATGCAACTTCAACAGTATCAGTGAAGAAGGTTTAAAAAGAACAGAGGAAATTCAAAAGAGACAGACACAGAGAGAGACAGAGAGAGACAAAGATAGACAGAGACAGAGACTGAGCCTGAGACAGAGACTGAGATTGAGACACAGAGAGAAGATAAAAGAGACAGAGTAAGACAGAGCAAGACAGAGACACAAATAGAGAGAGAAGACAGAGACAGATGAAACAGAGACAGAGACAGAAAGAGACAGAGAGAAGGAGAAAGACAGAGAAGACAGAGTCAGACATACAGAGGCACAAAGAGAGAGACAAAGACAGAGAGGTAGACAGCGGCAGAAACAGAATTAGAATCACATAGGTTTTATTTCAGTGTTTAGGGATTTCTTTTTTTTTTAAAGCAGCTGAAAATATCATTATGGTATATTAGATTTGATTTCTTCAGAATTTTTAGATAGTGTCCTAAGCATCTGTAATTATTTTGCTTGTATATAAAGGATCCAAAAGTTGGGTAGCTATGATAAATATGTGCATCATTTGATTTCTGATTCCAACTGGCTACTACATGAATTGAAATGAAAGATTTCCAAAGTGATATCAGCTTAGGAGA